GAGCACCCTGCTAGGCCATCTCAGGTCCTGTCCTTGCATTTAAAGGGATAGGGCCCCCACAGCCAGAAGGTGAGTTGGGAAGCAAGGAAACAGCTGTTCTGAGGAACCAAGCTGGTCCTCTCTTCCTCTCCAAATCACGCGGACCTGGCTGACGTGGCCCGGGAAGAGGGGACAGCCCAGGCCCTGTGGTCGGGAGCCTATTTATACTGGCTGGGCCATGTTGCAAGCTTTTCCTGCTGGTGAGGAGGACGTCACTGATTGCTGACCTCACCAGAAACGCTGACGCATCTGCCCTCACACTTGGCTGGGATGGACAGTGGCCAGACCTCCCCACCTCTGGGCCACCTCCTGTCCTCCTGTGCCCCACCTTGCTCTGGATGCTCCGCCAGTGGCCTAGTCCCTGTGCCCTCCAGCCATGCCCTCCTCTCCTAGGCTGCATGGACTGAATGGTGTCTCCCCCCACACTCCTGTGTTGAAGTCCCAACCATAGTACATCAGAACGTGACTGTATTTGGAGGTTGAGCCTTTAAAGAAATAATGAAGGGCCAGGTGCAGTGGCTCACACCTGTAATCCCAGCACTTTGGGAGGCTGAGGCAGACAGATCACTTGAGGCCAGGAGTTCACAACCAGCCTGGCAAACATGGTGAAACCCCATCTCTACTAAAAAATACAAAAATTAGCAGGGCATGGTGGTGGGCACCTATAGCTACTCCAGCCTGGGGCTGGAGAATCGCTTCAACTTGGGTGTGCAGAGGTTGCAGTGAGCCGAGATCATGCCAGGCTGGGTGACAGAGTGGGACTCCATCTCAAAGAAAAAGAAGAATAATGAAGGTAAAATTGGCCAGGTGTGGTGGCACATACCTGCAATTCCAGCTACTCTGGAGGCTGAGGCAGAAGGATCGCTTAAGGCCAGGAGTTTGATGCTGCAGTGAGCTATGAAAGTACCACGGTACACTTAAGCCTGGGCCAACAGAGCAAGACCTTGTCTTGAAAAAAAAAAAAGGAATAATTAAGGTAAAAGGAAGTCATTGAGAGGGCCCCAATCCAGTCTGAATGGTGTCTTTATGAGAAGAGGAAAGGCCAGGTGTGGTGGCTCACGCCTGTAATCCCAGCACTTTGGGAGGCTGAGCCAGGTGGATCACTTGAGGTCAGGAGTTTGAGACCAGCCTGGACAACATGACAAAACGCTGTCTCTACTAAAAATACAAAAATTAGCCAGGAGTGGTGACACACATCTGTAATCCCAGCTACTCAAGAGGCTGAGACAGGAGAATCACTTGAACCCAGGAGGTGGTTTGAGTGAGCCGAGATCACACCACTGCACTCCAGCCTGGGCGACAGAGATAATCTCCATCTCAAAAAAAAACAAAACAAAAAAACGTAGAGGCTATTCGGCCATGGACAAGCAGAAAGAAGATGATATGGAGACACAGGGAGAGACGTCATCTACAAGTCAAGGAGAGAGGCCTTAGGAACCAACCCTTCATCTCAGACTCAGCCTCTAGAACTGTGAGAAAAATCAGTCTCTGTTACTGAAGCACCAGTCTGTGGTGCTTTGTTACGGCAGTCCTAACAATGTAATCTGCACGCTCTCCTTACCTTCAGTGACCCTGGGCCCTAGGGCCTGTGCCTGGACCCTCATTAGCTATCTGCTAAGAGTGTGGTCTTTGGGCTTCATTTGAATGCGCTCTTCTCTTGGTGGTTTTGTTTTTTGTTTTTTGTTTTTGAGACAGTATCTTGCTCTGTCACCCAGGCTGGAGTGCAGCGGCACGATCATGGCTCACTGCAGCCTCGACCTTCAGGGCTCAAGTGATCCTCCTGCCTCCACCTCCCTAGTAGCTGGGACTTCAGGTGTGCATCGCGACATCTGGATAATTTATTTTGAAATTTTCTGTAAAGACACAGTCTTGAAGTCCTGGGCTCAAACGATCTTCCCGCCTCAGCCTCCCAAAGTGCTAGGATTATAGGCGTGAGCCACCGTGCATGGCCCAATGCCCCTCTCCTCTTAACTGTTCGTAAGTGGCCTCAGGCAAAGCAACCTCCTCTCTCTGTGCCATGAGAAGACAGCACGACCTCCCTGGACCACAGGGTGGATGGAATAAGCTAAGGCATGTGGCCGTCTCTCCCCAGGTATGGTGGCCAGTCAGCCATAGCTAAGAGGGTCCTGGAGCCCTCTGCTCAGATCTGGCACTCCTTTCTTGATCCAGCCCCTAAACTTCTCAGAGCTTTGGGTTCCTCACTGAAGTGAGCTGAGGTGTCTCTGCCCAGCGCTCTCTCTACCTTGGCTGTTGCAAGATGAGATCAGGTGGCCGGGCACTGTGGCTCACACTTGTGATCCCAGCACTTTGGGAGAGCAAGGCAGGAAGATCATTTGAATCCAGGAGTTTAAGATCAGCCTGGGCAACATAGAGAGATCCTGTCTCTACAAAAAATTAAAAAAATAAAAAATAGCTGGGCATGGTGATGCATGCCTGTGGTCTCAGCTACTCAGGGGACTGAGGCGGGAGCATTGCTTCAGTTCAGGAGTTGGAGGCCACAGTGAGCCATGAAGGTGCCACTGCACACCAGCCTGGGTAACAGAGCAAGATCCTGCATTTTAAATAGTAGAAAAAAGATGAGATCAGGGATGTGAAATGGAGAAGGATCCCCTCTTGGCATGGCTCCAGGAAATGGCATTGTGGGAGTGGGTACAGAGATGACGACTTTAGCGGAAGCAACATTCTCAGGATGAGAATCCAGAACTGGCCCCTGGGGGTGGAGATGGGGAGTTATGGGGCCTGGTGTGGTGAGTCCCAGCCTGGGTGCCCGGGAGTGGGTGGGGGCTGAAGAGCAGCCTCCTGGGCACAGGATCGCCTATATTTGCCGACTATGTGATCCTCAGACCTAGGAGTGGCTGGCTCACCATGAAGCCAAATAAATGTTTGTCGAATGAATAAATGAGTGATGGGGAGAATGGGTGGGTGGGAACAGCTTTGGTGGGCACACTGGGCCTCGGGAGCAGGCACAGACAGGGTGCCTCCTCCTTTCAGGTTGCCCTCGTTCTCCTTGCTCAGGTGCCCCAGACCTCATGCTCCCTCCAGCTGGAGCAGTTCAGGGGGCTCCCTGGAAGCCTCCAGACTCCCCAGACTCCTGAGGGCCTCCTCCCACCTAAGCTCCTTAGGGTGCAGGCCAAGGACCCTCCCCTGAGCCTGGTAGATGTGCTGGCGCCACCAGTCAGGGTCTCTAGGCTTGGGCCAGCCTCCCGGCCTCCTTGTTTGCCTTCCCCCGGGCCTCAGTTTACCCCATGGTAAAGTTGCAGGTTGACTGGGGAGGCACTGTTCCCAGGGCCCTTTCGCAGAGGACCAACCTAAGATCGCTATCTTTCAGAGAAAGTGAAACCTGGTCCCCAACCGTCAAGGCGGCAACTCCCCCTCCCCGGCTTCCCCTCTGAGCTCACAGCTTCCCCATCTCCTTCCCCCATCCCGCCCCCTCTACAACTAATACTTGGAATCGGACCTTCATCTTTGCTTTTCCTTTTAAAGCTCTTTTGCCTTTTATGTCCATGATGGCAGCAACCCTGTGAGGTGGGCTGAGAACGGCTTTTCTCCTCCTCATTTTACAGTGGGGGGTCTCTAAGGCCCAGGGTGGTTAAGTGACTTGCCTCAGGTCACAAAGCACCTCAGCAGACTTGAACCCTGGCCTCTTGCTTCTCTTGCTCCAAGTGTCCAGTTCTCCCCAGTGGAGCCTGTCTGCAGAGACAGGGCCTGGCTTCAGGCGGTGGGCCTGGCAGAGGCACATGATGGTGAAAAGAGACTCTAGGGGCCGGGCTGGGGGATGCCGGGCTGGGGCCTGAACCACAATCTCGGGGCTGCCAGCCTGGGTCTGGCTTTGTGCCCAGAGCCCGGTGGTTTCCGCTCACAGATGTCCCAACAGCCCGGCAAGAGAGTGGGACGGGCACTCAAGAAGGAAGATGTCTCGCTCTCCGCAGCGCCAGCCACCGTGTCCTGCAAGGTCAATGGCTCTTGGGCCAAGACTGGCCTGGGGCCTCCAGAGGCCCGGCTCGAAGTCCCTCCTGCCCATCCGGGCCCAGTTCCCCGAAGATGGCATGGACCCTCTTCCTCCCCGTTCACCCCAGGAAGGCTGAGCTGCGGCTTACATCATCCTTGGGCGTAGGGTTGACCTCGAAGAACGAATTCGAAGAAAACAGGAGGAGGAGCGGGCACACCACCGTGCCCAGCACCCATTGGCCGCCCGTGAAAACTTTGGTTTTTGGGGTCATGTTCCCAGAAGGCCTGCCCTCCCCCCTCCCCATCCCCACCCACCTCATGAGGTGTTGGCCAATCGCCCCGGCGGGCATAAAGTGGCTGCCAGCCTGCAGGGCTCCCAGCCGGGAGGTGTCACCTCCAGCGGGTGAGGGCCGAAGCACGGGCACCCAGCATGGGGGCACCGCTTACACGGAGGACGCTGCTCAGTAAGTACTTCCTTCCTCCCCGCCAGAACCCACCTGCTGGGTCTCTCCATGGCCACTGGTGGGAAGCAGGGACACCCTCTGCTCTGTGGGACCGGGGGAGGTTGAGTGCCAGGCAGAAGGATGCTGAGAAGGGAAGAGGACAAGGAGATCAGGCAGAGAGGGGGTCCACTGACAGACAGGTAGAGAAAGGGCATCCTTGGGAGGCTTCCAGGGGGAGGTGATGTCAAGATGCGGCAACTTTGGGAGCCAGAGAGTGAGAGAAGAGGATGGGCAAAGAGGCTGGGGAGGCAGGAGGGAGGTGGGAGATGTTCTCGGCAGGAGAGGGAGGCTCAGAAGCTGGGCAGGGGAGTGGTGTAAGGTGTCGGGGGTTTGTGGGGCCTCCAGCTCGCCCCAGTCACAGGGTCCCAGATGAACAGAAAGTCAGCTGGGCCTGAGAAGCCCCCAGAACCCACACAATCATACAGCACCCACAGCCACACCCACATGGCCACGCACAGCCATGTGATTCATCTACAGCCCTGGATCTCACCAGCCTGGGAACCCCCACATGCACACCAGAGCCCCCACGGTGATCGGAGCTGGTCTCCCTCACGCCGCACACAGACCGGGCACACAGCCACACAGACACCTCAGTCCCACATGCTCTGCCGCACACACAGGCCCCTGCCAGAGCCCAGCAGCAGATACCTGGGGAGGCGGCGAGGGTGCTCTGGGGTCGCCACTCCTGGGTGCCCGGCCCCTCGGCCCTCCCCAGCAGCCTGTCTTCCCCAAGGGACCGGATGGTTCTCAGGAGGGGAACGATGGTGTCACTGCCTTCCGGGTGATTGCACCACAGGCCCCTTCCGACCACGTGACTGCTGGTGCCCCACTGGGGGTGGTGGTGAGCGGTAACTACACCCGTCCCCAACACCTCTGATAGGCTCACAGCATCCCTGGGGAGGCTGACAGAAGAGCCACTTACGGAGAGAGGAGGGAGGCATGAGACATCAGGGGAGAGCCTGGCCTCGTGTGACCTAGGCAGGCCCTTCTGTGACTTGGTTTGCCTGTCAGGAAAATGGGGTCATGGGCTGGAAGGTCTTCCACATCTGTTCCAGGCTGTGCGTCTGGTTGAAAAGGCAGCCTCTCCTGGTTCTAGACAGAGCTGAGGGCACCAGCTGTTCCCGGGCTGCCTGCCCTGAAGCCCTCCCAGGCCCATCTACCTGGATGGCCAGAGTGGCTGACAAGGCAGGGTCCTAGGGCGGTGGCCGGTCCTCAGTCCAGAGGTCTCACAGGGAGCCAGTCCCACCCTGCAGAGAGTCAGCTCCTGAGGTTAGAACAGTGCAGGTTTTGGGCTCCAGCCGGGTGCTGCAGCCTCTGCTCAAACACCTACTTGGGAAATCCGAGCCACTGTCTTGGTCCCTCCAAGGGAGGGAGTGGCTGCTGTGTCAGGCCGTGGGCAGTGACTTACTAGGGGGATGATGGTGGCCGTGCTGGGCACGCCTGTGCGCATACCATGCCGCATAGTGCCCAGCCCCCACCTTCAACTACACAAATCTGGGATGAAGAGATGCACCTTTCAAGGCTCTCCTGAAGCCCCTCCCCAAGGCTCCCATCTGTGGCTTTCCTTGCCAATCAGGTGACACCCTCTTCTCTCCCTAGGTCTGGTCCTCACACTCCTGTTCCCAAGCATGGCAGCTATGGGCAGCTGCTCGAAAGAGTACCACGTGCTCCTCGACCAACTCCAGAAGCAGGCGGATCTCATGCAGGACACCAGCAGCCTCCTGGACCCCTACGTAAGCACCTGGGCCCCCGTGGTGTCTGTCAGAGAACTGCGAGGTTAGGAAGGGAGTGAGACGCAAGGAGGACAGGCCCAGCCCCACTCTGTGTGGGCGGGTGGGGAATTGAGCCCCTGCATTATTCCAGCCTTAACCCTGAGGCGCTAAGGCTGCCCTCCAGCTTCCCTAGCTCCGTGGTCCTGGGGCGGGACTCCAGACACCATTGTCATGCCCATCTGCTTATTCCGTGGGTTTCCTACACACCTGGCAGGCTCTGGTCTGGGCACTGGGATGCAGCAGTGAGGAAGACAGAGTCCAGCCCCTCTGAAGCTTCCCATTCCCAGAGGCATCCCACCGGCCCCAACATCCCTCGGACTTTGCCTGCAGTGATCTTGGGGTCCTCTTCCCTCTCAGGCCTCGGTTTCCGGATCCATCCAGTGGGGAGATTGGATAGGGGTGCAAGGGGTCTAGCATTTCAAGGCTGGCTCGTCTGTGAGTGTGGTCCGGGTCCTCAGCATTCACCCTGTGATCCTCCTGTTCCCCTCAGATACGTATCCAAGGCCTGGATGTTCCTAAACTGAGAGAGCACTGCAGGGAGCACCCTGGGGCCTTCCCCAGCGAGGAGGGCCTGCAGGGCCTGGACAGGCGGGGCTTCCTGCAGACCCTCAATGCCACGCTGGGCCACGTCATGCAAAGACTGGCTGCCTTAGAGCAGCAACTCCCCAAGGCCCAGGACTTGAAGAGGTCCAGGCTGAACACCGAGGACTTGGAGAAGCTGCAGATGGCGAGGCCGAATGTCCTCGGGCTCAGGAACAATGTCTACTGCATGGCGCAGCTGCGGGACATCTCAGACACGGCTGAGTCCACCACAGCCGGCCGGGGGACCACCCAGCTGCCTGTCCCTGTCCCGGCCTCGGATTCTTTTCAGCGCAAGCTGGAGGGCTGCAGGTTTCTGCACGGCTACCACCGCTTCATGCACTCAGTGGGGCGGGTCTTCAGGAAGTGGAGGGAAAGCCCGAGCCGGAGCCGGAGACACAGCCCCCGGCGGGCCGTGCGGAAGGAGGTGCGCAGGACCAGACCCTCCAGGAGAGGCAAGAGACTCATGCCCGGGGGGCAGCTGCCGCGGTAGCCTCGGGCGCACCCCTTGCCAGTGAAGGATGCGGCAGGTGCTCTGCGGATGAGGAACCGTTGCCGGATGACGCCTCCGGGCTCCCCAAACCTGTTTCTCTCTACTACTCACCACCGGGAAGTGCACTTTAAGAGGTGGGAGCTGGGCAGATCCCTTGTACCTCCTCCAGGCTGGGGGACAGAGTCAGGCTGTTGCGCCCCCTGGTTCCAAGTTCCCCAGGCCCAGTGGGGTGGCCAGGCGGTCCACGTGGGGCCAACTTTCCATTGATTCAAGGGTCTGATGACACAGGCTGACTCATGGCTGGGCTGACTGCCCCCCTGCCTTGCTGCCCGAGGCCGGCTGGTCCTTCCCTCTCATGACTTGCAGGGACGTTGCCCCCAGACTTCCTCCTTTCCGTGGCTCCGAAGCGGAGGTCACAGCCTGAGCTGGCCTCCTATGCCTCATCACATCCCAAGCCAGACACCTGGATGTCTGGGTGACCTCATTTTAGGCAGCTGTAACAGCAGTAGGGTGTCCTAGGAGTCCTGATCCGTGGGTCCAGGGAATGGAGCTCAGGTCCCAGCCCAGCCCAGCCCGGAAGTCGCCATGTGACCTGGGGCAGGTCACTTTACCTCTCCGGACCTGTTTTCTGTTTGTGAAGCTAGGGAGTTAGAGACTGTACAAGGTCCCCACTGCCTGTCGGTTGCTGGGATTCCCTGACTTAGGGTGGATATCAAAATCCCTGTAAATCGGGACATATGGTGCAAATGGCCCTGGGAGGTGTACTCGGAGCTCTCTGAAGAAGGAGACCCACCTCCCGGCGCCGGGAAGCCCCAGTCTTCAGTCCTCGCTGCTGGCTGCTCCCCCTGGTGGTGGATCCTGGAATTTTCTCACGCAGGAGCTCTTGCCCTCCTAGAGGGGGGTCTCAGAAGCTGCGAGGCCAATTCCTTGAAGGGACATGTCTAATTTATCAATTTCTATCAGTTTTATATTTATAAGCCTTATTTATAATGTATATTTAATGTTAATATTGTGCAAACATATATTTAAAACTTGACTGGTTTCTAAAGTCTCTGTGTCTCTCGATTGTCTTGGGGGAGAGGATTTGGGGTGGGAGAAGGGCAGCCTCTTAGAGAGGGGAGGGCCCCTAGGTGGCAAGGCCAAAAGCGTCCATGCTTTGGGGATGGGCTGGAGGTCCTTGCTCTGCCCAGGAAGGGAAGTCACATGCCCCAGCCGCTGGGGGCTGTGACTGTGGTGGGGTGGGGTGTCAAATTCAGATAAGGCATTGGTTATGGCCGGAATGGGGCTCCCTTGACAAACGGGGGATGAGGGATGTCAAGACGTGTTAGCAAGAGGGGAGGAAGAAAGAAAGATTTGACTGTGTGGGCTGCTTCTGCGCTCCTGGAGGCTGTGTGGCTGAGGTCTGCGTGCTGATGTCCGTTGCATGCTAATGTGTGTTATATACCAATGTGTGTTGCATGTATCACCTCATCTTGAAACCCGGATGTTAGTGTCCTAATGGAGGCTTATGTCTGTGTCTGTATGTATGTGTGTGTGCGGGCATGGGTACCTTGGTGTGTCTCTGCAGACGTGTCTGTGCATGCGTAAACTCAGGTGTCTGCCAGTGTGTCCTCTTATGTGTGTCTATGTTCCTGGATCACCCTGGGTGGGGGGTGACACGGGCACATCCGGTGCCTGGAACATGGAAGGTGCCCCAGGCGTTTGTGGAATGACTCAAAGACTGAGTTCACAGCTACACCCCTGCCGCGAGCATCCTGCCTGAGGTGCAGTGAGCATGCCACAGACATGAGGAACGGCTGTGTGCATAGGAATGAAGACCCTGGCTGGGCTCGAAATCCTGCCTCAGCCCCGTTCTGTCTACCGGAGTGACGTCAGGAAAATTCCTTAATGTCTCTGAGCCTTTATTTCCTCATCTGCGGAATAAATAAAAGAATAACAGATCCTGCCTCAGACAGGGCCAGTGACCTGGTTTGTGCTTAAAACTGCTTCCTGAGGAGCCCAAAGGGTTAGGGTTTCCATCTGAGCCCCCAAAACACGGCTCCTCCCAAATTCCCAGGCGAGCACATATAGGCCAAAGACATGCTGAGGCAAAGGCTCCCAGAAGCAGGTGAGCTTGACTCGGATGGGTCCCTGGCCAACCTCACTTCCTGAAATGGCAAATAGAGCTGGGGATGGTATGGGAACAGGGGACTTGACAGCAGGGTGGAGGAGGAGCCAGTGCAGAGCTCCCTGTAATAGACATGATACATCTTGCAGATGAGAAGACAGAGGCTCAGAGGGTCTGAGTGGCCTGCCCACATCCTCCAAATTAACCGGGGATGGGCACAGTTTGAATCTAGGGTCGTGGGACTCCCGGGCATGAGCATCTTCCTGGTACTCCTCTTCCTCTGTAACTTGGCTGACAATGTCATGAGTTCCTGAAGGCAAAGGGCAAGGGGCAGACAGACAATCGACAGGCACAGGGACAAAAACAGGAGGATCTGAGATTGCAGTATGAGCTCAGCAAAAATAAGCAGGGTGATGTAACAGACAGCCAGGAGAGCCAGGCACTGCGAGTGGTCAGGGTGGCATCTGGAGAGGTGACGTCCACACTGTGGTCTGAGTGACGTGCAGATGGGGAGGTGGGAAGAGCTAGGGCAAAGGCTCTGAGCATTCAGGGAGCAGAGTGTCATGAGTGAGGGCATCAGGATTTACCCAAAGGCCCAGAGAGAGGAAGCGTCTTGCTTAAGGTCACAGAGCAAAGTAGTGCAGGGCTGAGGCTAGAACTCTGGGCCCTAACTGCCAACCAGCAGTCTTCCTGGGCAGCTGCCCCACACATTCCAGTCTATTTAGCAAGGACCTAGCAAGGGCCCACTGGGCTCCCTGTCCCCCCCAGGGCTCCTACCACAATGGCTATCTTTTAGCTCCCCGAACGCCTGGGGCTCCTTCCTAACACAGGGTTTCTTCCTGTGCTGCTTCCTCTGCCTGGAATGCTGTTTCCTGTCCTTTTTGTCAAGTGAGCTCCTTCCTTGTCAGATCTCAGCTTGAGCTGCATCCTCAGCAGTTCTTCCCACCTGTCCAGGGTCTGGGTCCAGGAACGTGGTTGCACCGTCCCTTCCTGCAGCACTCACTGTGTGTGAGGTTGACATTCCCGACTGCACCTCCTATGAGCCCGGAGGATGGAGACCAAGTCCGCTTTACTCCATGCTGTCCCTGCATCCACAGGTGCCTGGCACACCGTAGGCACTCAAGGAGGAGCAGGACGGGTGGGGCCCTGCCTCCCAGGCCCAAGGAGAAGACAGAGGCCCGTGTGTCGCTGGGGGAAGCAGAGTCGCCGAGGTGCGCACCAGGGAGCCCGTTCCAGACAGGTGCCGCCCCTAGGCCTGGCCGGCTCCAGGCCCCGCCAACAGCAGTGGGGCGGCCCTCACTTGTGTCTCCTGCCTCAGCTGGGGAAGGGGATTGCCTTGACCTCAGCTCCTGGGAAGCTGTTGGTGGGAGGTGGCAGACACCAAAAGCCAGGCACACTCTGGTTCCTGGAGCAGAAGGGAAGTGGGTACTGTGGCTGACGCTGGGGTTGCCCTCCGGGAGGGCAGAGGTAAGCCTGCGGAGGAAGAGCTGGGAAGCCCAGTGTGGCTGCCCCTGACCCCTGGCCAGCCCCACCTCCCCCGGCCCAGGAGGGGTGTCTGAGGCTGACTTTGAACTAGAGCGCACCCACTCCACAGGAAACAGATGACGGAGCTTGACTCTTGGGAGTGGGTCTCAGGTGCACGGTCTATGAGGACTTGTCACCCCCATAACATCGCCTGAGGAGTCACTTTGCAGGTAACCCCAAACCACCACCTGCAGTCTGATCCCTCCCAAGCCCAGTTCCTGCAGACCCAGCTGCCAGGATCATCTCCTGGCTTAGTGGGTGCCTTGAAGCCAAACTCACCACTCTGCCCCCAAACCCGACACTGGCTTTCTGCTTCTCATTTGCCCCCACTGCAGTTCCAGAATCCTAGCCCATTGCCTTTCTCTCCCTCGGCCCTTCCTCTCCCCTCCATCACTCCGTCCTGTGGTTTCTCCCATATCCATCACCTGTAGGCCACTCCTCTCTCCATCGCCTGCCAGAGACTGGCTCCCTGGACACAGAGTAAAAATATCGCTATCATCCTGTCTTCTCCCGCTGGCAAACCTTCCGAAACTCTCTCCTGTTCTAGTGCACAGAGCATCCATTACAAACCCCTGGCTGCAGCATCTGAGGCCCCCAGCTCTCAGGCACGGCCCACTTTGCCAGGTCGTCTCTGCATTCGACCCACCTTCAGCTGCTCCCACCCCTGCACACAACCTGAGCTCCCTATTCCCCCTCCACTCTTTCTCCCCTGCCCCTTTGGAGAAACAGGGTCTCGCTCTGTCACCCTGGCTGGAGGGCAGTGGCATGATCGTGGCTAACTGCAGCCTTGACCTCCTGGGCTCAAATTATCCTCCCACCTAAGCCTCCTGGGTAGCTGGGACTACAGGCACGCACCGCCATGCCTGAGTAACTTTCAAATTTTTTTGTAAAGATGGGGTCTTGCTATTTTGCCCAGGCAGGTCTCGAACTCCTGGCCTCAAGCAACCTTCCCACATCGGTCTCCCAAAGTGCTGGGATTACAGGCATCAGCCTCTGTGCCTGGCCCTCCTTCCCACTTCTTACATACTCCTGCCCTTGGGGCTAAGCGCAGATGCCCCCATCTCTGTGATTCCCCACCCAGAGGGGTCTGTGGGGCTGCCCCGGTGCTGTGGGTGGCTATCAGAGTGCCACTGTGAAGCTTCCATCAGCCACAGGCGGAACTGGGCCTCATCCGATCACCGTGCCACCCACAGCATGGACTTCGGCATGACGGGTCTCATCCACTGTGGTCCTCATCACAGGGAGAGGCAGCAGGTCGGGGCCTCATGAGCAACAACTGTACTTTGTTGCCACCGCGTGCGTGAGCTGACGCTCTGTTAGGCACATTTCCCCCGGGGTGGGCGGGGCGAGGCCTTCAAAGCCTGCAAACAAGTGTGTGCCCCCCCCCGCACCAACTCATAGAAAGGACAAAGTGGTCGCGGGCAGCGGTCCGCTGGCACCGGGCTAAGGAAGAAAAAGAGATCCTGGTGCAGTCTGGCCGCCGAATCCACTCGAAGCAGTGTTCTCTTTTCTTTGTTAGGTTTTTTAGGGCGGCGGTCCAGGAGTCTCAGTTAATGCCGCACGATGCACGCTGCATGGTGCACACGTGGGTTAAAAGTTCCCTGGGACAGCAAAACCGTAGGAAAAGGCGGGGAGGGGTCCTGGCACATTTTGTTAATCTATGGAACGAACTCTCAGCGTGGGAACAGCAGAGCCAGGATGCCAACCCGGCCTCCCTTGTCCTCTGTGGCCTTAGACTCTTTGCTGCAGGTTTTCATGTGATTTTTTTCTTCCCAGGAATGAGTTTCAAATACTTTAGAATTATGCAAAAGGAGTCAGACTTCAGCCCCCTAGCTGGGCACCCTGCCCGGGCTGAGCCTCAGTTTCCCCTCTGTACAGTGGGGCCAACTTGGCCCACCTCCCCGCTGTGAAGAAGATCCCCTGAGAAACACGCAGGCACAATGTTGACCGCAGGGCCGTCCCTGAGCTGGCGTGGCCGAGGCTCGCTCTCTCTTATTTCCCCTTTCCCTCCTTAGTGGTTTTCTTTCTTCTCTCTTTGCCCCCGTTCTGTCACCTGCCCTGCCTGCCGCCCACCCTCCACCCAGGGGCTGGGATGTGGGGTGCCCACAGAAGCCCTCTTTTCACTGCGAAGGAAGGGTCACAGTCCATGCTCCTTTGGAGCAGGGAGGCCCTCCCAAGGCTGGCCGGGCTCCCTGCGTCTCAGGGCGTCGGAGGGCTGGGCTCAGGGAGGGGCGAAGGTCTCTGAGGGAGGGGGTTGGGCAGGCGTGGCCCTGGAGCCTGTGTCGAAGGTGGATCAGATGGGCCAGGTGGTGCCCCGGGCTCGGAGGTGGGTGCTGGGGCAGGGAGTGGTGGCCTAGGACGGGGCCTGATGTCTTGGGGGGCTATAGCCCTGTGACTCTTGTGGGGACAGGGACAGG